GGCCTAGGTATAAAAGTCACGGCTCGCCACTGCTCAGGCGACAATTTGTTTTTTAAAAACATTAAACCAAGTTCTTAAGTTCTTAGTATGTTTGGTTAAGCTTTTAACAGTGTTTGTTTGATTAAGACTGTGTTTTTAATTTGTTCCTGGCTCTAATAAAACCATCCTTGCATGTAAATGTACTTTAGCATCTTATTAGAACCAAATATGATATATTTTTTCTTTCAAATGNGCTTAGCTTTTATTCATTGGATTGGATTTTAACTCACTCTTCACTTCAGTTAAATTACATTCTGAGAAGAGGCCAGACTTGTTTATGTCTCTCTAGGTCGTCCTCAGACGAGCCCTCCATTGTCGCTTCCAGTCATCCCGGTTCTCCATCAATCTGGCCAGTTCACCATCCGCTGCGATGTTCCTGCGGACTCCCGCCGCTGGAAGTATAGGATTTGGGATGACTTTGTTCTTCATGGTGATTAAGGACTGGGTTGCGTAACTCCTCTCAGTCCTGGTTTTAGTTCAGAGTGTCCTTCTCCTAGATGGGTTGCCTTCCATGGCTATGAGCCCCATCTGCCCCTGCTATTTTGCCCATAGCTGGGGAGCATCTATTAGGGAACGGTGCCTTGCTCAGGGACACCTCGGTAGCACTTGGCCCTTCCGGGACTTGAACTGGTGACCTTCCAGTTGCCAAGTCCCTATGGACTTCGCCACCACCACCCCAATTATGTAATCCCAGACTTTTTTTGTGACTATGAGCCTTTTATAGGGGGGCTCCAACTACAGTGAAAAACGTGTGGATAGAGTGAAAGTGCCCAGGTTGTTTGTCCTGCTTTACTGTAAAAGGTGCAGTAACATGTTTTCTAATGTTCTAAAACAAGTGAGAAGTGGGATCATTCTCTCATAGACTTCTATGAACCTACATTCTTATTGCAACCAGTGGTGTCATCCCCTGCTGGGTGAGAGTACAAGTCACTTCTTCAGACCCAAAGTTTGCTATACTTGGAAATAACTGACCTTTTCAACCTAAGGCATAACATGAAATTCTGAGAAATGTGAATATGAGCTATTCGTGGGGCAACTCCAGCAACAGTAAGAGTGCCCTGGTTGATTTTCCTGGAACATACTGAATACTGCAACTATCATAACGTCTATTTGAAAAAAATTAATTCTCTCAATTAGGTTTTTCCTTGACCTCACATGTTGAGTGGTAAAATAACATGTTCAGTCTTTATGGCCCCTCAAAGTGCTTTACTTATACAAACCAGCATTCACCCATTTATACACATTCGTACAGAGACAGAGGCTGCCAAACCACTAACATTCAGACACCGTTGGTCATGCCATTGGGAGCAATTTGGAATTAAATATCTTGCCGAAGGACACATGGACATGTTGACTGCGGGGCTGTGGATTGAACCACTGACCTCCAGTCGAGGACCACCATATACCTTCCTGAGCCACAGCCAACCCAAGCCTTGTTCTGTTTCATGTACAGTACATCTTTATGCATATATGTTCAGATAATGATAGAATTTGATAGGATTATAGCAATTTAATATATTGTAGGAATTATATTACATAGGATTATGGAGTATTAACATAGAGCCGGCATACTGTGTTATATGGATGACAACTTGGACAAACACAGTAAACATTTTTAGAGCCTATTCATCATCATGTAGCACCATCTGTGGTGGGCAGATTGTCTGACTACTGATTTTGCGAAGTCAGCCACACCCTCTTCTACTAACTTGCAAGAAAGAAAGCTTGTTTGGTCTTAATCTCTTTGGATGAGCACTAAAAGTCTGTGGTAAATTGTAACGTAGTACATTAATCAAGTACTTAGGTACACATTCGAGATACAGTACTTGTACTCTACCTATGAATCCCAATGTTTTTTAACTATATACTTACACTCTTCTACAATAATTGTACTGTTTACTACACTTTATTAGTCTGATACTTCGGTTACACTTTTTCACATCATCCCTGTCCAGTGAACAGGTATCCAGATGTTTTGCTTTAAAATGTTTGTCATTAACTGAAGGATTAAGTGCTCCTTTTTTCCCACTTGCTGTCAAATCTTTAAACAGGGCGGTTTTTCTGAGCTCATTAAAGGTGGGCACTTTAGAGAAACACAGCTATCACATTACAATGACACACATACATTATGATGATTTTGTAGAACATGATGCATTGCTGTAGATACGTTTTATTTACAGCAAACCCTATTCTACAATAGCCAACAGTATATACTAAATACAATAAGCTAAACCAAAAATATCTACAGCAGTAAAATTAAACGTACTTTATATCAACCTACGTTTTTAAAATACTGCTACTTATTTTCTCTAGGATGGTGTACTTATTTGTTTCTTGCTTATTTGTTTATATTTGTATTGATAATGTGTGATTGCAAATACAGGGCAAATAAAGGATTTTTGACTCATTTACACAGCAGTAATATTAATCAGTAAACATCATACCTACTAGTAAAACACTGTAAGCTACTATTTTACTGAAAAGACTTAAAATGTATATTAGTTTTGCGTGTTGTTGTCATCATGGAGCCTTTATATGTTCATTTTGAATCTCTTTGTAGACATTTTGCGTGTCTTTGTGATTGTATTGCTGCTTGTCATAGCCAATAGGAGTCTCTTTGTGTCTCATTGTAGCTGATTTCCATCCATTGCAAGCATAAAAGCATGTAAATAAGACTTGCAAAACCACCTGTCCTACAAAGTAGCAAAGCCAAAAATACTTTAGTCTCTTTTTGTAGTGTGTGTCTCTGTAGAAGTTACACTTTTCTCAAGGGATTTGCGTTGAATAGTGGTTATATTGTATCATTTGTTTTTGTCTGTTGTTGTTTAGTCCTTGGTTATCCCATATATCTTTATATAATATTTGTGGTTATTTTTTTATTTTATGATGACTTTGTAGTCATTTTTGGTGTCTTTGAGGTTGTATTGCCCCTTGTCAGTCAATATGAGTCTCATTATTGGCGGTTTTGGCGCAGTGGTTAGAGCGTTGGTCATCAGATCAAGGGGCGTTGGTGAACACCAGTTCGAATCCCACCTCGGCCGCCACTGCGTCAGGCCGGTTGTGTCAGGCCGTTGTGTCCTTGGGCAAGACACTTCACCCACATTTGCTTCTGTGTGTAATGTCCACAGTAATGACTCTTACATGTCTAATATGTGTAATGTGTATTTGTAAAGCGCTTTGAGCACCTGTAAAAGCGCTCTAATAAAAAATGTAATCCATTATTATTATTTATTATTATTACAGCAGGTCCCTTTGCATCTGTTTGGCATCTCTTTGCAGTTGTGTTAATCTCTAGTTGTTTGTGTTTTCTCTGGAGATTTTGGGTCAGTCTCAAAATAAATTATGTGAATCTACAAGCTTTACAGTACAAGTCTCATTGATCTGACAGTTGGGAAAATTCACAGCACAAATAAATAGCACCAACTCAACCATTAAGTAGGTCAAGTAACGGGGTGAGAATCCATTCCAGAAAATAATTATATATTTCACATTTAAAGCAATCCCAAAGGGGGAACATTCTCTTTGAATCAGTACATTTAGACATATCCCAACACATTTGCTCTAGGTGCACTGAGGAGGAGCTTCCTCTGCTGCTTTGAAATTCTGGCAGGTAGCCTAATACATGTCAATTAAACTCAAACTAGTAACCCAATGTCAATCATAGTGAGAGCCACTGTAGTCCACACTGCCTTTGCTACTTTCTCCCCTGGCACATCAGTAGCTGTGGCCTATTTGGTTTGACTGGGTTTGACCAAGTAAATTACATTTGCTCACGAGGGGCCTCATTTCTAATGAGTGTGTGAGTGTGAGTGTGAGTGTGAGTGTGTGTGTGTGTGTGTGTGTGTGTGTCACAATGCAAACAATTGATATTAATTGAGGAGGCCGTAAACACAAACCATTTCTGGGGAAAAATGTAATAATTTTAAGAATGGACATCTGTATAATAGACATTACAGAGTGGAGATTAATGTGTGTTTCATTTTGAAACACTCTATGACCATGAGATGTGGGGTCTTTTTTCTTACTAGAATTCGGCCCACTTTGCGAAACACTCTGAATGAAATTAAGTCTTAGAAAATAATATAGCAGCTGCACATAAACCACAGACAATTCATGTTGAATTGGCCCGGCCATATCCAGACCACCTCAGAATTTAAAAAAGGAAAGCAAAAAATGTGCTTGAAACAGGGCCCCCTAACCTTATCATCAGAAGGCCCTGCAATGCCAAGAGCTGAGCAAAGAAAATAGTCCCCTCACTTAGCTCATCCTTACATTAATTCCCCATTTAACCTGTTCTGCCGCAGGACAAGTCTGACATCGTATCAATCCGAAACCAACAGAAGTCAGAAACAAAATTATATCACTAGAAAACACAAACAAAAGCATCACGCAATGGCAGTGTTATCTTGGTCTAAAGAGACAGTACAGTGAGGCATATTACTTTAATGCAGTGACAGACACAAAACACAGCTGTGCAAGGAAGACAAAGGGATAAAAGCACAAATCCAGCAACTCTGAGGTAAATATTTAGCCCAAGATTCAAAGCAAACACCCTGAATATGATCACATAATCAGCATAAACAATATGCCAATCGTGTTACCAGACTAGCAGTATAGCAGCAGTGTCTTTCCCTTTCACACTGGCACATTCACATTAAATTACCACACACAAACACATATTGTTATGCTTCTTGGAAATATAGGCCTACCTGATCTTCCCATTATTCTTTGTTTCAATATGATTATAGCAATAAAGGCAGCCTCTTTGAATTTGAAAGGGGACAAAGAAAGAGGGAGAGGGAAGTGAAATAGAGACACACTAAATATATATTTGTGTTAATAAAGGAATACGTGTTGTCTTCACTTGTAAAGAAAACACTTTGTGTTGTGTCACCCTTTTTGTCCCATTCGTTTACCGTAGAGACCTGTCTCCGGTTGCCTAGTAACGCTCCCCAACTACAAACACGGATTGCGTCTGTGTAGCTTTCCGTCGACACAGGGTTTATTTGTTGAAGACAATAATAAGTGTCATATTTACATTAACATCGCATTTACCGTACAGAGGTAGTGTTTTTTAACGGTTTAACAATGTTGCATTCGTGTTGACAAACTAGTTTCACACACCTGCACGGTTTCAATTGGGTAGCGGAGCGAGCTGAGTTAAAACTGGCGTCATCAGTCTAACGCTAACGTTAGCTAGCTAACAGCCAACCTCTTAAATTAGCTAAAACGTGTTGGCTAACGCTTACTTCCCCGAGCATGGAGCTAGATATTCGGCAGTATCTCAACACGGCAAAGGAGCAACAAGGTTTGTGGTGTACTCACGTTAATTACAGAGCGAGTACAGTTGTAAAACAGTTGTGAAAGTATTACTAAACTTTTTGTATCCTCGTGTAACGTTACCTTATGCAGACTCTGGAGCTCTACAGTCAGCCTATCGTTTAATAAACGACATGACAGCAGCTGGAGCCAGAGGACCAGCTCCTGGCAGTGCCTCAGAGCTGTACGTTGTATGTGCAGAAGCAGCTGTACAGGTGAGACTGAGGCAGAGATTTCACTGTACTGTGCCTGTTCATGTATACTTGTACTTAATAAATTCCCTTTTGTATATATTAATTTAAATTACAAAACTTTAAAATGTAATTTCTAATACCAAAAGTGCCTATGTATTACCATTGGCTTTGGCAATTAGCTTCAAATTACAACAGAGGTAGTTTTTTTTACCAAATACATATAAGTTCACTGAATAGGTATTCAAGGACATAATGTACTACATGGCATGCAACAGAAAGGGTAGGTCAACACATAATTCTAAATGAACCTGTTTAGTTCATTCATAATTATTAATAGACTATGACTGCTATAATTCATTAAACTTAAACTGACAATCGCTCAAAAGTCCAGTGCAATATCCAAATTGCAGTAAGTGCAATATTTGGTTACCTGCTGTAAAAGGTATTGTGGTGGTGCTGCAAAAGGTATTATACAGTCAAAATATATATTTATTTGGTTTGGATCCTTTCAATAATCCATATATTTAAAACATGATACAGTCCTCTAATCCTCTAAAATAATGTTGAATTTTAAATATTGGTTAAATAATCGCAATCCTTTCTTTTTTCGTGCAGCCCTAGTGTAGACCTTCACTGAAGAAGACAGTAATTGGCCCTAATACTGTCAAGCCATCAATCAGATGCTGAAATCCTCTGTCTGTAGGATTAATGAGAAAACACTTTGTTGCCTGTAACCTTGCGTCCAAGTTCTGTGAAGTTTTCATGTTGTGCGGAGTTCATAACTGCTGAGATGTCGCATAAGACATGATGCTTGAAGCAGCCTCCAAGAATGAAAGTTTCATATCTGACTGCGCAAAAAATTGAGCTCATTTAAATCAGTTTGACAATAAGTGTATCATCTGGGGAGGTTCCTGAATGTATTACTGGCATTTTTCGTCATATAGAGAGGATTCACTCGGTTTGCCTTAATACCAAAACTGAATATCTTTGGAGTTATTGGTTAATCAAACAGATATCTTTAGGTTGTTATAAAGAACACATTATTTGAATTCAATCTTAACAAAAAACAACTGACATTCTCAAGGGCAAAAGCCTGCAATTACAGCAATTTTATGTTGTGGTAAAATAACCGGCACTGCGCCTACCCAAAGCATTTTTCTAATTGTTTTAATAATGCATCAAAAGTATAAAAATGCTGACAGAATATAACAGCAGATAAGGTTTAAATATTTATTTAGTTTTGCCTTTATGCTTCTCTTTTTCTGTGTTTTCAGCTTGGTTGTTTAGAGATAAGTACAGCGTGTCTAAAGATGTACTTTGAAGGGAATCCGCCGGCGAATCAATTTTTGTGTCGAGCCTACCTCTGCCAGGTCCGGCTGAAGTCTCCGCCACCCCCTGGGAGCTTGGTGAGGACAATAAATTGGACACATCTCCTCGAGGGGGCTGTGTCCTGTATGTGTGTCTTTACCAATGAGATATGCACACAGTCAGAGATATACTGTACTTATTTGCTCTAACAAAGGAGCAGACGTTCTAGCTTCGTAAATAACTTTTTCTTTGATTCTTCGAGGCTTATTGCCCTTCGTATTGTCACAGTTAGTTTTCTTTGTGTTTTAACAAACTGTAGCCTTTGTTGAAGACTTTCTGCGTCTGATCTTTCTATGTTTTTATAAAGTCTAACTTTCCCCTTGCACTATTTTCTATTTTAGGAGAACTTAGAAGAGGCTGTGCTGTATTTTCTTAAAGCAATTGAAATCGCAAAGCATGAATCAAGGTATGTAAACTTTCAGAAATGTGCTTGGCTTTGTTCTAACATTGTCACTAAAGTTGATCAATGGATGCCATTTACAGTTTATCATCTGATATTGCTTGGCAAATGCCATTGTGGTGCCAAGGTGCACCTGTTAAAACACATTCAAAGATAAATATTCACAACAGAGGATGTTTTTCTTTCTTTAATGATGGTATGATTGTGGTATGGTTACAAGGGTTCAGTCTGCTGCGTTAACTATATTCCGGGACATAAAGGTTTCATTTGCAAACAGCCTTGTTGAAATAAAACATGCTTCAGAAGAGGATTATATAAGAGTGTTTTATTGAAAAATGTTCTTACAGTATCTGTAAGTATAGTTAAAAGGATGATAAATATAGATGTATAAGAAACTGCGTTCCCTTGTTCTCACTCTGAAAGATATCTTAGGAGATAGCGGCTTCAGTGCTGAATCTCTTTGGTAATGAACTCATAACTTGTCAATAAAAAAGGGCTGAAAGAGCAATCCTAATTAGAACCAAAGGGAATACATATCTAATACATCCAGCCCAGACTAATGCACAACACAATCTCTGGTTAATAAATTAGCAGCACTCAAACAGTCACAATATCCTCTACATCTGCGCCTCAAATTCATACATTTCCCTCATTTGACATAGAAAGGCTCGTACAGGACCCCCCTGAGGCTCATTGGACGTTGGTTAATCCACACACATTTGCAATTCACAGAACATCTTCATACAACGTTGACACTTGCTCTGAATTTAGTTGTGTTAAGAGATACAATTCCTTGCATGTGCATTATATAAATAATTGAGTGTTCTCTGTCAACTTATTTTGCATGTGGTTTGTTTCTTACAGAGACTACTTCATAGTGTTCAACGCTTCAGTGCTGTACTTCCAGACGGTGTGTCTTTTCCTGCAGCCGGGGTGGTGCTCCCACCTCGTTCCCTCCCTCAGGCAGGTGGTCCGGAGTCTGGAGGAGGTGGCAGAGCAGGACCACATCTGGAGGGCTGAACTCATGATGTAAGTGACCCCACCGTGTTCTTTTTGCTCGCTTTCATGAATAAGTCCAGTCCTGATTCTGTCCAGTTTCCTGCTGGATTCACAAGGGGTGACGCACAGAGCTAATTAACCAGCTCTTCATTTGTGACCACAGCTCTCTCGGTACCTAGTTAAGTTCTTGACATATTCTCCTCAACACAGTGGAGAATCCGCTCTAATGTAAGCTGTTTTATCATGTGACACCTCAGGCTCAAACGTTCGTTTTCTCTGCCCAGAGAACATTATGTACCAATCGTGTACAGTGTCATTTCAGCTAGCCAGGGTGTTCATAGGGTTGGTGACAGTATGTCCTACAGTATGTAGTTCATAGTTTAGTGTTATCCATAAAAGATAAAACGGCCGACATACTGTACATGGTTTGTCACTGTTCCGCTGCAACCATCCAATGCATGGTTGTTTGGAATATGTTGTTTCAAATAACCAACCAAAGGATGAAAAACAATACAAGAAACCTTTTTAAAGCAAGTCCTCTATGTTAACCAAAATGGATCATTAATTAATTCCTGGTTATTGACACGTCCATGGGTATTTCATGACTACAACAAGATCATTTGCTATAATAACTTAATTAAACTGGTAACATCGGAGAGTTTTGACTAATGCCTGGAATGCAATGGAAACAGTATTCCGCTAAGATCCTAGAACCCTTTGGCTCAGCTATGAGCCAGAAAGATCCTAAGAAAATTACGTACAATTGGAGAATCAGTGGCGTTGACATAATTCTACTTTAAGATTAAAAATAAGGCAATTTAATTTACTCCAAATAAATATTGAAATTTCACAACCAAACAATAGGCGATGTGTTCAGTCGACCAGAGCCTGAAGAGAGTGGAATATATAATTAAGTTTGAAGAAGCTTGTACAGAACAGTGGGTTTGCAGTTGTAAAAAGGGAACTTGATATACTGTATATTTCTGCAGAGACTGCTGTTATAAAACTCACCATCTTGATTTGACACGGAAATAGAATCATTCTCATTTGCTCTCCGTTTCTATTCAGGCATCTTATTGGATGTATTGTTGACACTGGAATAATAGAAGATGCTGCAAGTTTTGCCAAAGAGACAGAAGAATTCATCAAGGCACATACCCCCCATCTTTATCCAAGAATCTTTAAGTTACTGGTAAGCAGCCTTTCTTTGTGACTTAATACATTTATAAAGAAATTACGTGGTAATATTTATTTTTGCAGGTAACATATCTAATGGAAACTGTGTATGAATATGTCCTTTTTCAAAGAATAGGAACAACTACTTTTTTTCAACTTTTATAACATACATAAAAAAACTGGAAAAAGCAAGAACATTGTCTGAACCCTCTTTAGAGCATTTCATATGAATGTATCTGAATTCCTACAAATCACTGAATAAGTAACTACCTGTATGTAATGGACTGTGTAGAGATACTATAATGCCTAACTCTGTAACACTTTATTAAAGTAGTTCAAATGTAATATTGACTAACAACCAAAAGGAATTGGGCTCTTTGCAGCATCTCCATACACTATCATCCAGATTTATATTTATTAAACATTGATCCTATGTTTTCACTCATTCCTAATCAGTGGACTACTTTCCATGCAATCAGTTAAGTAAATACAATGTTGCTTTGAAATATATAGTATGGCTCTTCAACGAAACGTGCATGATAAATAAAGAGTAACTTCTATCTTTCTCTTCTTAGGTACAACACAGGCTGACACATGCTGATGACCTCATTGAAACAAGCACACAGAGCACTACCTTAGCAGTCATCTACAAAATACAGGAATTTAAAAAGTAAGGAACGTTTCTGATACACTAAAGTTAATGTTTATTTATTTTGCTCTGAAATGATTTGTTTTTACAGAAAGCCCTGTTTGTGTACTGTCATGATAAAAACAAACGTTATCTGTCTGCAGTAAAGGTGGAGATTAAGTGGTACTTAATCAATACCTCCACGAAACAGACTTTGATCTGCTTTATTGATTGTATGTATGTTTGCCTTTTTAGAATGCTCCCTTAAAGGTATATATTTGATGTATGCCGTGTTTTTGAAGCTGTAGGAAATACAGTACCGAGGGATTTTGATGCTTTTCTGATCCTGAGGGTTTAATGCTTACAGCTAGCTTTTCAGACTTGATCCCCTGCCTCTCAGCTTAGCTATCGGTGCCCTATAGAGGGCAGGTTAATCCGGCTCTTGCGAACAGTATTGGTATAGTACCATGGCTTGTAGTGTGGCATAGTACAAACCAACTCCCAGCCCCCCCTTCTTTTCTGCAGGCATGTACTCAACATGTCAGATCTTCTTATGGTTCTTTGGCTCGGCTGTAAACGTCGGCAGTATGACTCAGTCTGACCCCGCCTTCGTCAGCATCATTTAGGTTATTTAGCCTAGGGTTAATGCACTGTTTGGTGTGAGTACATTAGGGGGCAAATGGGAATACAGATACATGCATAGTTTATATATTAATCTACACAAAATAGGATTTTATTTGTGGTTTGTAGCAGGTTGGAAGAAATAAATGTGGATGAGCCAACAAAGGAGGAGCTCGAGCTGATTCTTCATATCCTGATGGATTGTACCAAATATTCTCGCTCGCCACTGATCTCCGGTCAGGGCCAAACACCCGTCCAACCAGCAGACAGGTCTGTGGCCCAAAGTGTCCTCAACAAATCTCCTACCCAACAACATTACCTTCATAGCATCCTGTCCTCTTCTTTCACATCTTATTACCATTAACACCACACAGGGAGATTCCAAGGGCATAACATGGCTCACATGTGTTGGGGATTGTATAAATGACTTTTTATCTGGGATTTGCAGGGTTGCTTTCCTCCTGGAGTTGGCTCTGCTGGCCTTACAAGTGAAGCATCAGGAAGTCGCTGCTGAGTGTCTGAAAGAGCTGAAGTCGGCGGGAGAGGCTGTGAGTGTCCGGTATTCCCTTAAAACCTCAGGCTGTTACTGTACATATCATAAACACATGCAAATGTATGCTGGAATTTGACATCCCCTCTAAAGTGGACACTTGACAATAGATGAGATTAATTAACTGAGCTCATGCTCAAGGGCCAAAGTGCTTGCTGCATGTATAATTACTCTTAGCAGTGTAGAATTATAACATAGAAAGGTTTGCAGTTTTTTCATGTTCCATTTTGATCTCATATACTTTGTGAATTTAGTGAAATGATTGTGTAATAAACAACATTGCATGTATAAGACAAAATAATACACATTGTAAGATGTTTCATTCTCTTCCCTAACCCTAACCCCGTCCATGATCTGCTTGGACGCTGAGTCTTTAAATTCTATGTATGTGTTTTTCTTTTAGAGTATCGGCCAACTCATACTAATTGAATGTGTCAACTGTGAGTTCAACCTCTTGAAGAGAGAAGCCAAGATGAATGACTATTCCAAAGCCAGTGTGGAGGTGCTCAATCATATGTCTAAATCATCAGCCATGTTTTTCCCCCCGTATGTTGTTCAGGCAGTAGACCGACCAATTACAGAAAAATGTTTTCTCTATTTTCTGTAATCTCATTCTTTGTTTAAAGGGGGCCTTTTATGCTTATTTCTAGGTTCATTACCTCTACTGTGAAACGTTTCCATACTTTAATGTTCAAAAAGCACATCAGCCCCTCTTTTCACCCTCTGTCTGAAACCAGAGCCCAGTCTGCTCTGATTGGTTAGCTGGCCAGCTCTGTTGTGATTGGTCAACCACTTAGAGATGTCCCGCCACTTAGCCTATCATGCACAATCTGTTGGAGTGCTAATTCCCTCGAAGCACAGGTAGACACAAGTGGCTTTCTCATAACGGGTTTATTCCTCTTCGAATCCACCGTGAAAACAACTCATAAACAAACAGTATAAATGACAAATATAGTATTGTGTTCGACACACAATAACATGCACAGCATGTGAGATGAGTAGCAAAGTAATAAACGTAAAAGTAATACAAACACAACGACATACCTCTTTGGCTGCATGCTCTGAAAACAGAGGGAAGTATTCTTCAGTCCTTACAACTTACACTGAACAAAAATATAAACGCAACACTTTTGTTTTGCTCCCATTTTTCATGAGATGAACTCAAAGATTTAAAACATTTTCTATATACACAAAATAACCATTTCTCTCATATTGTTCACAAATCTGAAAAAATCTGTGATAGTGAACACTTCTCCTTTGCTGAAATAATCCATCCCACCTCACAGGTGTGGCATATCAAGATGCTGATTAGACAGCATGATTATTGCACAGGTGTGCCTTAGGCTGGCCACAATAAAAGGCCACTCTGAAACGTGCAGTTTTGCTTTATTGGGGGGGTCTGGGGGGGTCTGAAAACCCTAGGGTTAAACCCTAACCCTAACCCTAACATGTCACCCATTGAGCATGTTTGGGATGCTCTGGATCGGCGTATACGACAGTGTGTTCCAGTCCCTGCCAATATCCAGCAACTTCGCACAGCCATTGAAGAGGAGTGGACCAACATTCCACAGGCCACAATCAACAACCTGATCAACTCTATGCGAAGGAGATGGGTGACATGTTAGGGTTAGGGTTTAACCCTAGGGTTTTCGGACCCCCCCAGACCCCCCCTGCAAAGGTATGAAATTACAAGTTTTTCGTGTAGTCGGGGAGAAAAGTGGGAGACAGACTTTGGTCTCGGGTCAGACGAGACTAACCAATCGACCGGTCGAGACAACACTAACCAGTTGGTGAATCTCTACAGGGCGGTGAATCGGATAGTACGTGTTAGACAACCTCACGATTAAGGGAGCTTCGTGTCCATCTGTGTTCACCGAAAGAGTATTGCCCAAATAAGGAGAAGCTTAGGTGGCACTTTTGTTGAGTATTTGTTTGTCATATTTACTGTTTATATCATAACACAAGCTGTGTGTTATTGTACGTGTCGTACACTCTACTCATCGTTTCATTATTTGCATTTTCATTATGTTTGTGTTGCTGTATGGAGAAACCGACGTACGAGACTTTTGTCTCCCTTCATAAGAAGTCAGGAATGTTGAATGTGACTTGTTTTTATATTTGCGTTGTGAAAACAAAACGAGGGTAAAAAGTACTCTACTTGAGTTTCTAAATTTTGTAAAAGATATATGTGTTTTATTGGTAAAGAGAGTATAACAAGTGTTTAGACTTTTTTAGACACTATCACTTGTGAAGAGGAAACGACTTTATTAGGTAGGGTGGAGTGTCCACACCGTATAGTTCTACGACTAATCTGTCGTACTAATAACGTGTCCACACGGAATCCGACCGGTGTTATTTTCCGGTGAGACTTTGCACGTCAA